AGTCTGTAAGCTCAGCTGAGACCTGCCCACCATGGGTGACCCTGCTGGTATTTGAATACTGGTAGCATAGCTTCCAGCATCACAGCAACACGCAAGTCCCCATGGTACAGCAAACTGACAGATGCGTTGGAACTAATATTGCTATTGAGGAGTCAGATGTCATTTTAATTCTTGATTATATAGGATTTTTTTTCTTTATATCTATTCTTCTAGAAGGAAACTCATTTTTTTTTTCTGAGAAATTTTCTTGGTATAGTTTCTTCAATAATTTTCTTATCTCTATTTTTCTCTTTTATCTTTATGGAAATCCTACTAGTCAGATATTGAACCTCCTTGTTAATCCTCTAGGTTTTTTGTTTGTTTGTTTGTTTTACCTTTCTCTCCTGTTTCCCATATCTTCATCTGTTCCACCCTTCCCTTACATCTTCTAGGATATTTCTCTAACTTTGTATTCTAACTATTTTGTTCTTTAAAAAAAATTTTTATTTTTAAAAAGTATTTTGTTCTTTATGAATAAAATGTCTATTCATATGTCTCAGAAAATATTAATAATTGTTTATGTAGAAGTTCTTTTCTGTTCTCTGCAAACTTCTACTGATGATAATTCTAGGTTACATTTTCATTTTTAACAGCGAGGTCCGCATAAGCTGATTTAAGCTTTGTGTACTTGGGGAGGTTGGGTAGTGAACTATTTTTTTCTTATTGGGAGTTGCAGCTGAGACTGCTACTTTTCCTCAGTGTTATTTTAAGTAATGGAGCCACCCTCACCTCTTGAAATATTAGCAGGGCACATGGCTGCTCAGCTAGAGCCTCTCTACATGTAACCTGTCAATGTGTGCAACCTCCTGGTCACTTTCTTAAGAAGGAAGTCTCTTGTTCTCCACTTCCTCTTTTCCCCTGCCTGGGGCTGAAATGCTGACAGGGTGCCAGTGAGCCAACTTCTGCCACACTGATGAGGACAGCACCCTGGGGTGTATTGGAGCAACAAAGAGGAAGGGACCTGGTCCTTGAATGACCTAGTTGGGCAAAAGTGCCAACTATCCACTTCTGCTTTTAGACGGTTGCATAAGAGTAAAGAAAAAATTTCTTCCTGGTTTGAGCTACTGTGGTTTTGGATGTCTTGGTTACATTACTACAGCTTAGTGTAACAATACAAAACCCGTTGCCAGTTAGTCAATTCCTACTCATAGAGACCCTATAGGACAGAGTAGAACTGCCCCATAGCGTTTCCAGAGAGTGGCTGGTGGATTCAAACTGCCAACCTTTTGGTTAGCAGCCAAGCTCTTAGGGATCTCCAAATATCAGTTTGTTGTCCAGTTTCTCCAGAGTCTAGTTTCTTCCCTGCTAATTTATTAACTTGAATTTCTACCATGCAAGATGAGATTACTGCTGCTATATTCTCATTGAACTTTGCTTCTCCCTCCACCCCTCAGCCTATTTCTATCACATTACTTTTTACATTGACAACATTGTGAGCATTGACATTCTCTCCTTAAACGATCGTTTCTGTCCTTAGAAAGTACAGCAGTTGCATTATTCTCCTGGTGTTTGGTGGAAAGTTTTCCCTTCTGCTGTGACTAGTTTGTTTTTGTATTTCCCATCGATCTATGCCCACCATACGTGCTGAAGAATTATGTCATTAGTAAAGAGCATGTAAGTTATATGAGATGTTAACTTGATGCTAAAGTTTAATATAGCCCAAGATAAAATCAATTTCAAATTTTCTGTTGGCAAATATTGTTCTTTGACTACAGAGAAACAAACTACAAGTGTATGATTCATCCAATTTCTGGGTTTAATGAGAGAGCTTGGGGAAGAAGTAGGTGAATGAGAGACTCAGATGAAGAAGTAGAAATGAATGGAGACTATGGGTTGAGCTGCCATTTTGTAAAATCAGAAGCTAAGGTTCCGAAAAGGAATGTGATTGTCCTAAAATTCCTGTGATCTAAGAATCGTCCTGTGAAAAGCTCTTACTAATGTGTTCCTATCATTTTGAGCAAATCAGCAACTTTCTGATGTTGATATTTTTAGTTTTCAAAATATGATAGTTATTACTCTTTGTGAATATTTACACATAATGGATGATAATATAATTAAAACAATTCTTCCTAAAGAATTTTCTTAAAACACTTTTTATGTCTAGCTCAGTACCTAGTAGTAGCTTGATAATTACAGAGTTTTAGAATATACCAATTTATAGTATATATGCATAACTTAAAATAAAAAACCAAAGCCCCTGCCATTGAGTTGATTCTGACTCACAGAGGCCCTATAGGACAGAGTAGAACTGCCCCACAGGGTTTCCAAGGGGCAGCTTGGATTTGAACTGCCAGCCTTTTGGTTAGCAGCCAAGCTCTTGACCACTGCACCACCAGGGCTCCAAGCATAACTTAGACTTGTTAAAATAAAAATGGAAAATTGAAATCATTTAAGAGGTAAAAGTACATTTACTAAAATTTATACTTAAATATAATTGTGATTGAGTTTATTTTTAGTCAACTAAGATGGGAAATATAACGGATCAAATATTTATATGTTTGATAAAAATAAACAAACATATCAGCTCTACAGGAGAAGTTTTTTCTCACTGTTATGAAAATAGAAAAGAAATTTATTGCATGGATTATTCTACAAGGAACAGTGAACAACATAATGAATAATGCCTTTAAAACCTCAATTGAAGAGTTCGTCAAAAAGCCAAATATATCATCCCTCTATAAAAACTGAGGCAATACAGTGCAACATAAGTTTCTTTGATGTTTTGGCAAGGTGTTAAGCTACTAAGATTCAGGCACATAAGCACTGAACATCTAATTTCATATCCAAGATAGACCTTGGAATACATACCTTTCTAGGTGCAGTATATAAGGTAGAAGTGGCTCCTGTCAGCCAAGTACAATTCTCTGGAGAAGATGACAGGTATAAGTCCTTAGCTGCAGCACCAGCAGCATGGGGAGGGGGAGGCGGTAGAAGGGCATGGGTGCACTTCTGGGTAAAAGATCAACGGTGTTAATTTACTCCCAAATGGTTGGTTCAGTGTCCTGCACAGGAAATTGTTATTGGCCAATAAATGGAAATCGTTTTGGTATAAAGAAAAAGTTTGGGTTTTAGAATCAGTATAGGATTCAGAATTTGGCTTAACCACTAATTAGCTGAGAGATTTAGGGTCTCCTCATCTATGAAATGAAGACTATAAGAGCCATGTCATATGGTTTTTTAAGGGTTAATTACAATAAGTCATGTAAAGTTCTGGTACACAGTATTTAAAACTTAAAAATGGGTTAATATAGTTTTCTGGTTAATCATTTAAATGACTTCTTTCTATTGTGTGTCCTTTTTCTAAAGGAAGCAACCACTTAGTGGGTTTGCTTGTTTTTCTTTCTCTATAGGAAGTTGAAATTTAACTGTGCTTTTATCAGTAGTACAGAGAAATTCATCCAGTTATATTTGGTAATTCTTCCTATCTATTTTTGAGAGCTTAGCATTTGGGCTGTTGTGGTCTGCAGTAGTCATCCCCGCTTAGCTGGGTGGTGAAGATCACTTTAGGACATTTTCCAGACTTAGTCTGTATTTTGGGCAAGTATCTTTGTGTCTTACAGGAACAGACAACCACAGGGTGGGCAAGATAGAGAACCCAGGTTGAGAGTTTCACTTGTCCTCCCATTTAAGGAGACTATATTTAGGAAATTATCTGAATGAACAAGTCCCAGATAGTAAGATAAACTTGGTCTTATTTTGGGACTAACTATCCATGAAGGATAACAAATGGGCCTTTCTACAACTTGTCTTTTAGTGCTCTGAGACAAAATGCTGGGCTTCACCCTGATCTAGCACCATTCAGATATTCTGAAAGTCATGATAAATCTTCCTTTCTTTTTAATTCATCACCACCAAGCCTTTAGCTTTCAGTGCATGCTTTTTCTGTGCTGTAAACACAGGACCAGAATAGTTTCCCTACTAGAATAGTTTCATAGAGTGAATCATTTGGTGTCTTATATGCACATGTCTGTCAGTTTGTCGAACCGTGGTGGCTTATATGTTGCTGTGATGCTGGAAACTGTGCCACCAGTATTTCAAATACCAGCAGGGTCCCCCATGGTGGACAGGTTTCAGCAGAGCTTCCAGACTAAGACCAGTTAGAAGAAAGGTCTGGGATCTACTTCTGAAAATTAGTCAATGAAAACCTTGTAGATCACAATAGAATATTGTCCTGTATACTGCTGGAAGATGAGCCTCCTCGGTTGGAAGGCCCTACACAATAGCCACAACAATGGACTGGACTGTACCAACAATCATGACGATGGAGCAGGACTGGACAATGCTTTATTCTGTTGCACACGGGGTCACCATGAGTTAGAATCAACTTGACAGCAACTAATAACAAAATACATCAAAAAACCCAGGAATTAGGGGAAAAATTTTCCCACTTAAGTATTATAAGAAAAATTCTTGTTTGCACCGGATTCTTGAGTATTTTCACACCTAGAAACTTGTATTACTCTATTCTGGCTAGGCGGTGGGCAGTCTAGAAAATATATTTAACTTTCTAAATGTTTTAAAAATCCATTCCTCTATGAGCAATTCATACCCCTGACTGATGGCACTACCTCCTGGAGAGGTACTGCTTCTCATTCAGGGCTTTTTCTTTTTCTGGGGCTTCTAATCCTCGCAGGGCCCACCACGTGCACTGTGCTAAGTGCACCAGGAACTGCACTGCCTTTTGCCTTTTGCTGTTGTTTACTCAGAGAAGAATTATGCATATGTTCAGAAAGGAACTCATCATATGCCCCATCCAAACAGTTAGAAAGTCTTGGATTACTACAGAATCCTAGAGCACTCTCAGATCAAGTTCCAGACTCTTCTCCCCAAGAAGGGGACCTTATCAGCTAGCCCCTGTCAGAGCTGTGCCCAGCACTTGGTCTTCTAGCCACCTCCTGCCCCTCCCCTTTAGTGACACAGAACTGGGACCTTGTCAAGTTTTAACTCCTTGGCTTAGGCACCATGTCAACTGTTTTCTTAAAAGACTTCTGTTCATCTTGATTCCAGGTGTCTGAGAATTCTGAGCCCCAGGGCTGCATTTCTGAGACTCTGTGCCATGGCCCAGATGTTACAGAGTGGTTTCCCAGCACTGTGCATCTTCGGGGTCTTGACCCTACTGCACTGCCCTTCAGCCATGTGTGGTGAGTACAGTGGTTATGGGGAAAATGGGACAGTTTCTCCAAGGTATGGAGAAAAATTCTTCATGAAGAATTAGTCAAAGATAGTCAGATGGTGGTAATTCAGAACAATTTTGAGAGAATACAGTGAACTTTGTTATGAATGAAAATAAAGCATTTAAAAATATTAAAGAAATTCTAATTCTTTCAAAAGTAGGTTTTTACTATCTAGAATAACGAAGTGCTGAGGTGCAAAAATCCTTGCGAGGCTATTTCAGCAAGGAATAGCCTTTAATTTAGAATCTAGTTATATTTAAATTGTAAAACACAGTTATTCTTTAATTAGGTTAATTATAACAGTGAGAATCTTAGTCACTGATTAATTAGAAAAAAATTTTCAACCATAAATCAAAAAAGATCATCTAAGAGCACAAATACTGAGTAAATTTTCTAGAGTAAAAAGAAGCCACATTGTAAACTGTAAACTGTTATATAAAGTAAGGTATCATTATTGAAATTGTGGGGAAATTTTTACAAATCAATGAGAAATGGAAGAGTTTGAGAAAACATGACAGAACTGGCTCAAGAGCTGTTGCTGTGGAAATTAGAGTAATTTCTTTTGTTATTTAAATGGAAATGTACTTTTATCAAAGTGATATTTTCCTCTTTCATTAGGCAACATTATTTCTTGTGTGAGAGAATAATTTTTATAATATATTGAAAATACTTATAAGCACATCCCCTGAAATAGCTATTACGGCATCAAAATAGAGGATTTTGGACAGCTTAGAGGGAATATCCTAATACTAAAAAAATAGCCAAATGGTAATTTTCGAGCTAGCAGATTGATAAAAAGCATAGACGTCATACTTTCTTCATCACTGAGAGTGGGGACAGAGGAAAGCAAGGGCATATTAAGGAAGCATCTTTATTTGGAAGATGATTCTTCACCACAAAAGGATGACAATTATTGAGGGATTGTTGTTGTTAGTTGCTGTCGAGTCAATTCTGATTCATTGTGACCATGTGCGCATAGTAGAACTGCTCCATGGAGTTTTCAAGGCTGTGACCTTTCAGAAGTAGATCACCAGGCCTGTATTCCAAGATGCTTTTGAGTAGGTCTGAACTCCCAACCATTTAGCTAGTAGTCAAGCGCTTAATCGTTTGCTCCACCTGAAGATGCTGTGTGCCTTCAAGTTGATTTTCGACTCATAAGGACCCCATTTGACAGAGTAGAACTGTCCCATAGGGTTTTCTAGGTTGTAATCTTTACAGGAGCAGATTGCCAGGTCTTTTCTCCCGTGGAGCAGTTGATGGGTTCCAACTGCCGGCATTTCACTTAGCATCTGAGAAGTTAACCGTTGCATCACCAGGGCTTCTTTTATAACATATGTAAAATGCTTAATATAGTGTCTAGCAAGTGGTTACAAACTTAATAAATCCTTCCTTGTGATCTATTACTAATAAGTGTCATAGGCAATCCAAAGTAGAGATGATCACTGTCTGCTAGAGTAGCATGCAGAAAAGCGTAGACAGCACTCTAGAAGGGAAGATGGAAGAAGCAAAGGTGCAGACGTGAGAATGCACAGGGCTTAGGTTTGCCTAACAGCAGTGCTCACTCACACAGAGGAGCAGTTGTTGATGAAGATGAAGATTCCGTGGTAAAGGCCAGATGAGGTTTGTCTTAATGCTCTTGGGTTGATAAGTGTTTTAAATAGCTTGCTTTTAGCAAAAAGGTAATTTGGAAACAACTCTTACTTAGATTCAGTCTTAAAAAGGAAATCATCCTTTAGTGCTTTATCTGGTATTTCCAATACTCTAAATTTATTAAATTGCACTAAAATTTCTCATGCAAAGTTTTTGGAACCTGAGACAATTCCTTTTCTAACCCAACATTTCATGTTTCTTATTTCAAAAATAATTCCTTGTTTTGCATCATTCCTATGAGCCTCTTTCCAAAATGTTGTAAAATGCACAAAACATATTCTTTATAGTGGGTGTGGTTGTTGGAAGAGGTGGGGATTGTATACAGATTCTGGATTCACTCAGTCTTTACAAGTTTTCAAAGATAAGCAACTCTACTTTAAAAAGCTTATTAGAATTCAACACACGTATAGAACAGTGTAAAAAATGAAAATGTACGGCTCAATGATTCATCAAAAAACAAACACTTGTGAAAACCTCACTCAGGTAAAGAAGAACTTTATTACCAGCCCCCAGAAGTCCCATGGGCCACCTCCCATTCACTACTCTATCCTTCTTCAAATGTAATCATTATCCTGATTTTCATAATAATCACTTCCTCCATTTTACTGTTAGTTGTACTATACCTTAGTTTTGCATTTTTTAAAACTTTTAAAATGCAATCATACATTAATGTTGTCTGTCTACTTTTGCTCAACATTATGTTGGTGGGATTCATCCATGTGGTTGTGAGTAGTATTTCATCTATTTTTATGGCTGCATAGTAGTCAGTTAGATGAATGCACTACAATTTACTTACCCTGTTCCACTGTTAATGGATATTTAGGCTGTTTCATGTTTAGACAGATTACAAAGAATGCTGCTATAAACATTTTTGAGCTTGCCTCTTGGTGCACACATTCATATATCTCTGCTGATAAAATACCCATGAATGTAATTGCCAGGCTCTAGGGTGTGATTATTTTCACCTTTAGGAAATAATATCACAATGATTTGGAAAGTGATTTTATCAATTTACATTCTCACCTGAAGTACCTTAGAGCACCAATGAATCACATTCTTGCCAACATTGGTAATGTCATAATTTTAAATTTTAAACAGTCTCATGGATGTGTAGTAGTTACTAGTTGTGGTTTTTAATTGCATTTCTTGATGATTAACAAGGTTGAAATGAGCCCTGGTGGTGCAGTGGTTTAACGATTGGCTGCTAACTGAAAGATCAGCGGTTCAAACCCACCATCTGTCCCAGGGGAGAAAGATATGGCAATTGGCTACTGTCATGGATTGAATCGCATTCCCCGAACATATGTGTATCAACTTGGCTAGGTCATAATTCCCAGTATTGTATGATTGTCCACCATTTTGTCATCTGATCTGATTTCCCTGTGTTGTAAATCCTATCTCTATGATATTGATGAGATGGGATTAGCAACAGTTATGTAAACTCAATCTACAAGATTAGATTGTGTTTTAAGCCAATCTCTTTTGAGATACAAAAGAGAGAAACAAGCAGAGAGACAGGGGGACCTCATACTACCAAGAAAGCAGTGGCGGGAGCAAAGCGTGTCCTTTGGACTCAAGGTTCCTGCACAGAGAAGCTCCTAGACCAAGGGAAGATTGATGACAAGGACCTTCCTCCAGAACCGACAGAAAGTGAAAGCCATCCTCTGGAGCTGGCACCTGGAGTTCGGACTTCTAGCCTACTAGACTGTGAGAGAATAAATTTCTCTTTGTTAAAGCAATCCACTTGTGATATTTCTGCTGTAGCAGTCCTAGATGATTAAGACAGCTTCCGTAAGGAATTATAGCCTGGGAAACCCTATGGGGCAGTTCTACACTGTCCTATAGGGTAACTATGAGTCGGAAATCAACTTGACAGCAATGGGTGGTGGTGGTGGTGGTGGAACAAGGTTGAAGGAGCCTGGGTGGCACAAGCAGTTTACCGTAGGCTGCTAACCTAAAGTTGGTGGTTCAAACCCACCTTTCAGCTCCTTGGAAGAAAGCCCTGGTGAACTGTTTCCAAAAAAATTAACCAGTACAAAACCCGTTGCCATTGAGTTGACTTCGACTCATAGAAACCTACAGGATAGAGTAGAACTGCCTCATAGGATTTCCAAGTCTGTAATCTTTATGGAACCAGACTGCTACATCTTTCTGCTGTGGAGTGGCTGAACCAGCACTAGCAGCTGAGAGCTTAACAACTGTGCAACCAGGACTCCTTCTGTAAAGATTACAGTCAAGAAACCTCTTTGGAGGGTGAAAAGGAGAAGTGTGCTGTCACAGTATAGGGAGAACAATTAGGGTCACATAACAATGTATGTATAAGTTTTTGTATGAGAGAGTAACTTGAATTGTAAACTTTCACTTAAACTACAACATTAAAAAAATAAATAAAAAAGAAGTAAAAGTCTAACTATATTAAAAATCATTTCCTTACGGTGTAATTTTCAATGCTAGTCCATTAAAGGGGCCTTACATTCACTTAAAAAAAAAAAAAAGAAGAAAGAAAACCCTATGGAGCAGTTCTACTCTATAACACATGGGGTCACCATGAGTCAGAATCAACTCAACTGCAACAGGTTTGATTTTTTAGTTTAACAAGGTTGAGTACCTACTCATATGTTTGCCAACCATTAGCGTAGCTGCTTTAGATAAGTGTCTACTCAAGCCCCTTGACCATTTTTCTATTGGGTTGCCTGCTTCTTAAAAATTAATTTATAAGCATTCTTCTTATTTTGCCTCATGATTATAGAATATGATTCTGTTTCAGAGTGACTCCTAGTGGCTGCATTATGCTTTTATACCAAAAAGTCCATGAAGTGTAGAAGTTTAGTGACCATGTCAAGAAAATGATACATACCTCATGAGTGTAATAATTTAATGAACTAGTTCTGTAAAATGGTGTCATGGATTGAATTGTGTCCCCCAAAAATACGTATCAACTTGGCTAGGCCAAGATTTCCAGTATTGTGAGATTGTCCACCATTTTGTAATCAGATGTGATTTTCCTATGTGTTATAAATCTTATCTCTATAATGTTAATGAGGCAGGGTTAGAGGCAGTTATATTAATGAGGCAGGACTTAATCTATAAGGTTAGGCTTTGTCTTAAGTCAATCTCTTCCGAGATATAAAAGAGAGAAGTGAGCAAAGAGACAGGGAGGCATCATACCACCACGAAACAAGATTCAGGAGAATAGCATGTCCTTTGGACCCAGGATGTTCATCTGGGGAAGATTGATGACAAGGATCCTCCCCAAGAGCTAACAGAGACAGAAAGCCTTTCCCTGGAGCCAGTACCTTGAATTTGGACTTCTAGCCGAGTGTGAGAGAATAAATTTTTCTTTGTTAAAGCCATGCACTTGTGGTATTTCTGTTATAGCAGCACTAGATGACTAAGACAAACAGAAAGGGTCCCTCACTCTGAATTGTTAATTAAATGAAACTCTGGCTCACTCTGTTTCACTCTTCTCTCTCACCATTCAAGATTGCAGTTTACCTCCAAGCATTGCTCATGGATCCTATGAAGATGTGAGCTCATTTATGTCCTTTACTACTGAGGTGAAGTATACATGTGATGAAGGATATGTTCTGGTTGGAAAAGCTAAAATCACCTGCAGATATTCCGGTTGGTTGTCTCCAGCTCCTCAATGTAAAGGTAACTCCAGCTTCACTGATGGTCCTTGCTAAGAAGGTAGAATCTCCATGAAAGTTCTGACAGTACAGTCTCCTCCCAACGGAGGCAGTGCTTAGAAATTTGTATTTTAAAATTTATTTATTGGTTTCTGTAATTAATACATGCACATGGTACAACATTTACAAAGTATGAACGATCGTACAGTTTATCACCCTTGAAATAACCACTGTTACCAATGCATGTCTTTTCAGAGGTAATTTAAAGGACCACGTTTTGTTTAGTTTTAATAAAAATTTAAATTTAATTATAATATACAACAAAACTGTGTACAAATCTTAGGTGTCAATGAATTATCACAAAGTGAAACAACTCATGTAACTACCACTGAGGTTAAGAAGCATTACCACTACCAGCACCCTGGAAGCATTCTACATGCCCCCTCCCAGGTACTCCCTGACTCTACTTCTCAAAGAGGTCATTATTCTGAATTCTAAAAAAATAGATTAGTTTTGCCTATTTTTGAGCTTTGTATAAAGGAAATCATGTACATACTATTTTGTGCCTGGCTTCTTTACTCAATATCATGTTTTTGAAAATAATCTATCTTCTTGCAAGTAGTGATAGGTATTCATTTTCATTGTGGTATGACTCAAAATGACAACAGCCGTAAACATCCATTAATAATCAAACATAGCATATACAAAGTATGAAACTAGGAAAATTGGAAGTCATCAAAAATGAAATGGAATACATAAATATTGATACCCTGGGCATTAGTGAGAAGAAATGGACCAGTATCAGCCATTTTGAATCAGATAATCATACGATCTACTATGCCTGGAATGACAAATTGAAGAGCAATGGCATCTCATTCATCTTCAAAAAGAACATTTCAAGATCTATCCTGAAGTACAACACTGTAAGTGATAGCATAATATCCATATGCCTACAAGGAAGACCAGTTAAAATGACTATTATTCAAATTTATACATCAACCACTAATGCCAAAGATGAGGAAATTGAAGATTTTTACCAACTTCTTCAGTCTGAAATTGATCAAATATGCAATAAAGATGCATTGATAATTATTGGTGATTGGAATGTAAAAGTTGGAAACAAAGAAGAAGGATCTGTAGTTGGAAAATATGGCCTTGTTGATAGAAATGATGCCAGAGACCGCATGATAGAATTTGGCAAGACCAACAGCTTCTTCATTGCAAATGCCTTTTTCAATAACATAAATGGCAACTATACACATGGACCTCACCAGATGGAAAACACAGGAATCGAATCAACTGCATTTGTGAAAAGAGACAATGGACAATCTCAATATCAAAAGTCAGAACAAGGCCAGAGGCTGATTTCAAAACAGACCATCAATTGCTCATATGCAAGTTTAAGTTGAAGCTGAAAAGAATTAAAACACGTCCACGAGTACCAAAATACAACCTTAAGTGTATCCCACCTAAAATTAGAGACCATCTCAAGAATAGATTTGGCACATTGAACACTAATGACTGAAGATCAGACGAGTTGTGGAACGATAAGGACATCATACGTGAAGAAAGCAAAAGATCATTAAAAAGACAGGAAAGAAAAAGAGGACCAAATACATGTCAGAAGAGACTCTGAAACTTGCTCTTGAATGCAGAGTAGCTACAGCAAATGGAAGAAATCATGAAGTAGAAGAGCTGAACAGATTTCAAAGGGTGGCTTGAGAAGGCAAAGTATTATCATGAAATGTGCCAAGACCTGGAGTTAGAAAATCAAAAGGGAAGAACACACTCAGCACTTCTCAATCTGAAAGAACTGAAGAAAAAATTTAAGCCTCAAGTTATAGTACTGAAGGATTCTATAGGCAAAATATTGAATAATGCAGGAAGCATCAAAAGAAGACAGAAGGAATACACAGAGTTACCATATCAAAAAGAATTGGTTTAAGTTCAACCATTTCAGGAGGTAGCATATGATCAAGAACAAATGATACTGAAGGAAGAAGTCCAAGCTGCCCTGAAGGCATTGGTGAAAAACAAGCCTCCAGGAATTGACAAAATACCAACTGAGATATTTCCACAAATGGATGCAGCACTGGAGGGACTCACTCATCTATGCCAAGAAATTTTAAAGACAGCTACTTGGCCAACCAACGGTAAGAGATCCATATTTGTGCCCATTCCAATGAATGGTGATCCAACAGAATGCAGAAGTTACAAACAATATCATTAATATCACATACAAGTAAAATTTTGTTGAAGATACTTCAAAAACATTTGCAGCAGTGCATTGACAGGGAAATGTCAGAAATTCAAGCCAGATTTAGAAGAGAATGTGGAATGAGGGGTATCATTGCTGATGTCAAATGGACCCTGGCTAAAAGCAGAGAATACCAGAAAGATGTTTACCTGTGTTTTATTGACTATGCAAAGGCATTCAACTGTGTGGATCATAACAAATTATGGATAATATTATGAAGAATAGGAATTCTGGAACACTTAATTGTGCTCATGAGGAACCTGTACATAGA